AATAATAATCATTCAGTCAGTCAATTGTCAGACAGATTTGTTTTTCAAGGTGATGGCTGTTGGCAGGAATGAATTTCTGTATCTAAATTTCAAGTAAAGTATTTAGTTTATTTATTTAAGCACTTCAAGCAAAAGCAAATACTTGAGTGTGGAAACCTTTGTGCTTTAATCTTTCTAAGTCAGACAAATTTACTTTATGAGCAGTGACAAAAATAAGATGACATCATATTTGAAGGACTGTACCTTTGGTGCTGAACTTGATCAAATTTTCAGTCTGGTGCAGATACAAACATGTGCAGTAGACAAGATTTGCACCTTAGAAACTGCATATTACCACTGTTTTGGTTTCATTTTGCATAACCAAGTGCATCCTGTGTACCAAATATGCAGCAGTTGACACCCAGAAGGTACTTGTATTACATTTTAAGTTAAAAAAGTACACAATTTTAAACGTATTAAAGAGCATCCAGTACGATTAAGTTTCTTCACACCGAGCACAAAGCTGAGCAAACTGTTTCTTACCGGCAATGTGGACACATAACAAAACTCTGGAATGTGTGTGCTACTCATACCGCTGAAGTGAGATACACCTCTGGAGGAACCCAGACTGAATCTACATGAGGACGTTTTCTGTGGAAATAGTCCCACTTTCCACCCACAGCATCTTTCCAGCAGTGACTAACAATAAAAACAAACCGTTGGAGCACAAAGACAAGTTTTATTGTTCACGAGGTCTCTCTCGGCTGCCAAGACAACACAGCGGTATCACAGAGTGACGCAGGAGACTGAGTGTTTGGTATCAGGTCTGCTTCTTCTGTCGAGTTTAAAGACAAACCGTCATTAAAAACACTCAGTCTCAAAGTGCGTCCTGGCTTCCCAGAGACCAGGAAACTCACAAGTCTAACACGAACCTCAAACTGACAGTCAATCTTTTTCTATACAGCGATTCAAACATTTACATGCTTCGAGGCGTTCTGTGGTGCAGATTGTTACTGCAGCAGCTACAAAGCTTTACATCGTCTCTAAAAGCTGCATCTCCTGCGGTATTCTCCTGACAGCTTCAATGACCTCTACAGTGTTGACTTTATCCCCAAACTCCATCTCCCTGTGCTCAAGTAGTATTCCCTGCAAGACAAGAAGAACAAAACAACAAAAAAATACATTATTTATTTCCAACTGTGCTCTTTTTACTCCTCTTTGACACGATTTGTAACACAAGCATTTCACTGTCTGAATAAGTCGTACCTGCTCTCCTTGTCCGATGACGAAGACCCCACCAAGGACGAATCCTTCCCCCAGAACGTTTCCCACGAAACCGCCCCTAAAGGCTCTCAGGCCGCTCAGCCAAACCCCGACACGCAGGAACCCCAGCAGACCCATCTTCCGTTCACGTGGCCCATAAAAGCGCCTCTGAAAGCAAAACCAGAACTGTTGAGTCACTGATGCGGACCTAAACGGATTTGTAACGGACCCTGAAGGACTTTGGTGTCTTTGTAAACAAAAGTGAAGCTGAAAAACTGGTTGAATCCAGTTTAAAGATCAGTCTGGAGGGAAAAGTGGCCTCACAATGTGCCGATTCATCAGAGGAATTATGAAATTCACCTTTTCGTCCAAGAAGATCTCCCCGTTGAAGAACTGCCTGAAGTTCTGGACCTCGGTGCCGACGTCCTCCTTCACCACAGCGTACAGAGGAACCCCGAGCTCGTCCAGCCGGGGCTTCAGAGAGGACAGCTCTGCAGCCTCCTGGAGAGAAAAAAACACGAAACATCGTTCATTTCTAATGTTTTGTGACACTGGTTGCACTTTAAGTTAATTTTGAAGGTTTCATGTGTGTCGTTGCTTCAGCTGTTTAAGATTTGTGACATTTATTGGTGTTTAAAGAGGCGACAGATTTACATGAATGTCCTCCTGGAATACAGGTTGGTGTGATTTACTGTAACAGCAGTGTGCCTTTTATGATTGTTTTCTGTAATCATTTGTCTTTGTACATGGATAAAAAAATAAATAAAAACAGTTTCTCCTTTATGGATTAACAGAGTTAAAGTGACAGTCATACAACGTACTCAATAGCTTTCTTGCTGTAGTTAACGGAGATGTTCTCTTTTCTACCTTTAGAAAAGCTCCAACGCAAAATGTAAAAACTTAGCTTTGACCTGAAGGCCTAATAGATTTTATTGAGTGTTTTTCTTGTAATATGGTTGTGTCTGATTCTTCTGTTAATACAAAAAAAAAAAAGCTTTCCAAGTAGAAAAATGTACTAAAACATGAAATTTGGCAAAGTTTAGAACATTTCACACCACCTCGTATTCATTTTATGCACAGAAACACTGTTCAAACTCAAATAAAGTGACCCTCCAGTAACAAATCAAGCTGTCTATCATGTCTATGGGTTTTTTTATATGTTAGAAGGCAACTCATTTGTAAAATAAATAACACCATGGTGGAGCTTCTACACCTTGAAACTACACTTTACTAATGACAGCCTCTAAAACAAGGGTTTCATACTGAAACTTTGTGTATTAATACTCTTCCTTAGAATGGTTTGTGGTTCTTATGTGGCTAAATTACACCACGTTTCATTGTGCAGTGTGATGTAGAGTAGTTGTGAGCTGGTGTGCAGCGAGCAGGAAGGTGTGGCTGCACATTTAAGGCAGGCAGGAATCATTATATGGAAAAAATGCTAAATATGCTATTCTGATACAGAGAGATGAACTATTAGAGGCTTAATCTAAAGACTACAGAGGGACTAATGACATTTAAATCAAACAGAGAATTAAACTCCAAACATACTTAATGTGGTTGGATGGATTTTGTAAGCTTAATAATTCCTTGCACACTGAGTGACAGCTATCTGGGTAATTTAAAACTGTTTATCTGTAATGTCTTCATAAGCAGCTGCACATTGTTTAGTGACAAGACATGAAAAATATCTTTAATAATTAGGAAGACTTTGTTAACTGACCTGTTAACTATTGGATGGACTTGTAAGGATTTTTCTGATTATTCATATAGCTTTTTTTTTTAATTTTTTTAAACCAACTCCTTGGGAATAAATAATAAACAAACAGGCTAATTTGGCTCCAACAGAGTCAACGTCCTGCCAACAGCTCTTTCTGATTGGCTACACATCAGAGTAACAGACAATCAACACTGAAGAATAAAGGATGGCAAGTTTCCTTTTTTAAAAATTAAACATGTAAATTAAGTTTTTAGCTTTTTTTGACACTGCAAATGCTGAAAAATCCACATTGTTCAACCTCAAACAGTTCTGAATAAACATCTTCTTGCTACTGAAACAGGAAAACAAAGTCTGAGGACAGAATTCCCTTTTATGAAGCCAATAACTTATAATATTGCATTAATATATTTGGACTCAGACTTTACCTCTCTGCACAAAAATCATCCAGGACGCCGGACTGCCATGACCACAGCTCCGGACTTCGCCCACAGAGTTTTGGCTTTAAAAGTCTTTTCTTCTGAGGACAGAATTGAGGTAAAAGGGTGAGAGTTGTGCAAAAGGCTGAATCCATGACTAACCCCAACACAATAGCTAATTTCAACACATCCACACATTTTCAACCACTGACACAGCACTAAATAATCTCATTAGTGTTATTTTTGGTGGAAGTGGCTGTTTTACCTCCTTGCAGGGTTTTGAGCTCAGCCTCCCCCAGATATTGCAAAGTGGCTCTGAGAGGCGGTGTCAGGAACAGATCAGTGATGATGTTCATGACCCCAGTAACGAGGCCGCCGACGATGGCAGCAGCGTTTCCTAAGAGCTGCAGAGCCATGCTTCTGTCTTCTCCTGGCCGGTTTACAGCCACTGCATCGCTCAGCTGCGCGCCTCCGGAGCAGCAACACCTCTGAGCGCGGCGCGTCTAAAGGCGCATTTAACCTCCAGCTCCAGCAGATCTCCCACGTGTTTCCACTGAGCCAGCCCACTTTCTTTGAATAGTTTGGTCCTCATCAGAGGGAATGATTCAACACAGCTGTGTCGAGTCTGCAGCGACAACGAGGAAGACAACTAGGAAGTTCAACACAAATCCGACACTGTGCGCAAAAGTTGTACCTCCTCCTCCTCCTCCTCATGCGGCTCAAAGGTCACTGGTGAGATTGGAAAGTGCAGCGTCATTGGGCTAAAACAGCAGACATGGCTGCAATAATGCAACAAGCTCACAAAATACAACCTCTACAAACTAGGATGAATAAAAATAACTTTGAATGTTGCAGGAAATGAGTCATCACAACCACTAAAAGCAGCTGAAGCAGTTGTCATTGTTTTGTAATGTATTTTTTTTCAGATTTTTTACAGTTTTCCCTCAAAAACCTGCTTTTTGTATGAATGTTTGATCCTCATTGCAAATTAGTGTAAATGCACACTTGGACAGTTGATGCAGATCTGCTGAAGATGGGAAGTTTCTCTAAAAATCACTTTAAATCTCATTTTAACTTGTGGATTCAGCAGCAGTGTTTGTGAAAAGCTGCTGGGTTCATAGCATTGAACTTAAAGTGGTGGGAAGTAACTGGTTACTGAAGTTAAGTATGATTTTGAGGTACTTCACTTGAGTATTTTCATTTGATACAATGTTCAACTTCCATTTTACTACAACATTACACTTTCTACTCCACTTCATTTCTCTGACAGTTTTTAAAAAAAAAAATTAATGACACAGCAAATATTATGACAAGTTTTTTAAAATACAACACATTGTTAGAGGGTAAATCTGAGGTTTCCAGCCTTTATGGCTTTTTACAACAAGCAGTGTGTAGTCGGGCTCAAGCGCTGGTTTATTTTCAATAGATGTATTGTCAATAAATAATGCAAATTATAAAAGAAAAAGGAAAAAGTCCCAAAACATGAAAACTGATTTGTGTATCATAACTTAGATTTTTCCTGTTTTCTCTCCCGTCAGATTTATCTGCTGTAACTGTATATAAAAATACATCTAAAGTAGTTTAAACCAGCTCGACCTCCACTAACTTACTCTTCCCACACGTGATGCTATATACAATAATGTTATTTACTTCAACCTTTTCATTACTAGCAGGATTTTTCATGCAGGGCGTTTACTTGTACTGGTGTATATTTACATTGTTGGTACTTGAGTTAAGGATCTGAACTTTTTTGTTTTTATTTCGCTGTACTTTGTGTATGATGACAGTCACAGCATTCTATTCTATTCATTTCCCAGTGTGACGTGGAAACAAGCCTCCAGAGTACGGACACTGAAAACAAACGATCCTGTTTCTGATAGCTGAAGTTGTATAATGAATAAATCAATTCTAAGGTACAGAGAGGATCTGCAACAATGTGGGCACAAAGATACTGAGATGAATCAAATGAATCAAAAATGATAGGTGATCAATATTTGTGAGCTATTTAATATTTACACATACATTGTGGCAACTATGTGTACACGGAAGCTGTAGTACTATTATAATTTAAGTAAAAGGTGAAGGAGTGACTCATCAACCAGGCTGATTTGATCAAGTGTCGTCTGCTGCTTCTTTTTCTTCTTCCTGAAAAGCAAAACAAAACTTAGTTACAAATTACTCTTAAATAACTAAAAACACATTAAGTCCCTTTATTACCCTTTTAACACCTGAAATTGATCATTTATCCTCATTTTTCCACTGTCTGCCTCCAGGGTTTACCTTCTGCGGTGAGTCTTCGCTGTCAGATGGAGGCTTTTCAGCTTCTCCTTGTGAACTTGCAGGTCTCTCGTTCTGCGGCGTTTCATCTCCTGCTACGTCAGTTTCAGCCTGAGCCAAGATATCAGTCATCTCAGTTGTTTGTTCCCCATCGGCCTCCTGAGATGAAGTGGCCAGAAAAGTTTCAGTTAAGCATTAAGCCATTGTGTCTTCTATTTCTGTCTCTACTTTCTAAACACACATTTGGTTTTCAGACTCAACCCTGCTGCCTCCTCAGGACCAGTTTTTCTCATCCACACACTATTTCCTGCCTCAGAATGGACATTTGAGTCTGTGTTACCTTATTATGTATTTTCCTGTTCTCTCTGAATATTGGATGAACAAAAATGTGTATTGTGCTTGAGTAAAAGAAGCCCCAATAAATAATACTTAATTCTTAGCATTTTTTTGTATCATCGATTTTCCTGTGACTCCAAATTTCCTCTCCAATAAATAAACAAACAAACTAAAGAATAAAAATGGAAAGCTTCTGCCTTTTGTAAATGTTAATGAGTTGGTAGCTTGAACAACCAGCCACCTTTTCCTGCTCCTGAATGCGGGGAGAACTTGATTTTTGTGCCTCCTCTTCAGTCATCTGTTCTTCTTGCTCTTCATTAGGAAGCGTCTCCTCTGGTTTGAGGTCGTCACTCTGTGGAGCAGAGGCCGACTGCACTCGGATGGAATCTTCAGGTTTACCAGTTTGTTCTTCAGCAACCTTGAGGTGAAGAGCAGCTAAGATTAGATCTTGGAAAACACAGTGATCTGTCGCTCTGCCTTTCCTCAGCCTGACTCCTGTCTGTGTTCTCTTTGCCTGAACACCTGAAGCATTTTAGGGAAACTGAGGTGCAGCTTGTTGCTGTGGTTCCCCCTGTCCTCGTCTGGCCTGTGATCTTTCACTTCAGCTCACTTCTAATCCTCTTTTATCATCTTTTCCTGCACTTGATCCTGCATCTCTGAAGCCTCGCGCTGGAAACTAAATCAGCAACACAAAACCCGGATATCAGCAGCATCACCTTCTCTGTGTCTTGAGGGTCAAGAGTACGAGGACTTTGTTTGTCACGCTGCTCTTCTGTTTCAATCGACTTTAAATCACCGACATCTTGTCTGGGAGTTGATTGCAGAGGGTCGGTTTGCTCAGGTTCAGATCGATCAACCTCCTGCAGAACAAACGTGAAACAAATGATTAATTGAACAATGAAACATTTTTGTTTGACCCCTCTAACGATCCAGGTAAACATTATTTACAATTATTGTGCAAAATGACATCAATGTAATTATCTTCTCACCTTTTTCTCATCTCGCGTGCTGTCTTCCACCTCCTTTTGTTCGCTGCTTGCCTCTTCCTCCTCCTCAGTTTTCTCCTCTACTTGACTGGCACTTGGCTCCACCGTTGTTTTCTCTTCTCCTTGATCATTCTTCGTCTCCACTTGGGTTTTTTCTTCCAGTATTTCTGCAGCCTCCTTTTTGACTTCAGTATTGGGGGCGTCAGATGAGGAGGAGCTGCTGTCCTCTACAGGTTTGCTCTCAGAGGACTCTGGTCTGGTTACTGGTTTATCTGCACACTTCATTAAACCATTTGAAGTTTGTCATTTTATGGTTATTTCAACATCACACGAGGCAGATCATGCAGAGTGTTAGCGTGAGCTGCCTCATCACCAAAAACAACCCAGCAACAGTCATACTTTTAAAAAAAAACAAAAAAACAAATCAAAAACACACGGCCGAGACCAAGTTGAAGAGAAAATTACAACCTATCAGGAAGCCCCCACCTCTATAAGCACACAGATTTCAGTTTCACCTCCTGTTCAGTATCATTTTCCGGTGCTTCAGTTCGGTGTTTGTCCGTCTGCTGATGATTTCCTGGATCAGGGGTGTTTGGTTTCTCTTCTTTTACAGGTTTGTTGTCCTCAGCAGCTCCTGTTGTGGCTGCATCAGACTCTGGGGGCTTCTCCTCAGAGATCTGTTCAAGTTAATGTGCTCTTGATAGACTTTCTCAAAATGTCATGTAAGCCACAAGCAAGCCGCTACAGTTTTAGAACACGTGGACCACATTTCTAAGAAAATCAAATCTCTTATGTAAACTGGACTTTTGAGGTCGATCAAGACATTCTTAATGAAGTTTAAGGTCGACTATCTTATCATCAAAGCAAATCAGTTAAAAGAATGACTCATAAAATCTGAGATGACTCATCCCCTGAATCACTATTTTCAGCTCCTGCTTTCAGGACACATCAGTTGAATTATTAACCCAATAGGGCTGAAAATTTCAACTATTTCCATCCCCAATTAATCCGTTGATTGTCTTTGTGATTAGTCAGTTCTTTATTTGGTCTAAAAAATGTCAGAAAATGGTGAAAAATCTGTGTTTCACAAAGTCCAACATGACAAATATCTTATTCTGTCCACAACCCAAAAATATTCAGTTTATTGTCATAGAGAAGTAAAGAAACCAGAAAATATTCACATTTAAGGAGCTGGAAGAAGCTTACAAAATACTGAAACTGATTAGTCAATTATCAAAATAGCTGGTAATTAATTACATAGCTGACAACTGATCGATTAGTTGATTCATTGGTGGTGATTTATAAGTCGTATCAATCCAGTCTGTTTCTGCACCTATTTCAGCTTTGCTTTCCACCAGCACTTATCTGTGCTGTGATTATTCTTCATTCCAGGATTTTCATCTATATTGCCGTAATGCAGATGTTTGCTAGAAGCTAAATGCAAATTTGGGCCACAAAGACATACATAAAGTTGATCTATCGACCCATCTACAGTGTTTAGTAATTGTCTTCCAGTGGAATTAAATGGGAAGCATTACAGTCGGGCGGCTGTGGCTCAGGTGGTAGAGTGGGTTGTCCTCTAATCGCAAGGTTGGCGCCCCTCCACAGTCAAAGTGTCCTTGGGCAAGACACTGAAAGTTGCTCCCAATGGCAGGCAGCACCTTGCATGGCAGCTCTGTCACCATTGGTGTATGAATGTGTGTGTGAATGGGTGAATGAGAAACACATTGTAAAGTGCTTCGGATAAAAGTGCTATATAAGTGCAGACCATTTACAGTAAAAATAGCTGATAATTTATTTTTAAAGGCTAATCGGAGCTAAACAAAACCTGAAAATGACTAAAAATAGCATCACAAACTAAAGATATCACACCAAAAGTAACATCAGACTCTCTAGTGGACAAAAATGGGCTAGAGGGAGGTTTTAAAATGATCAATAACAAGTGGAGGTTGAGCTGCATCAAATCTTTTGTGCTCAGACTCAGAATTAAAGCACACGAACTGAGTGTGTTTCAGGGATTTTGTGACATACCTTCTTAGACTCTTCCAAAGCCTCGCTGATCTTTTGCTCCTCCTCCTTCAGCTTCTCCTGATGCAGCGTCTCCTCTCTGGCTTCCGGCTGCTCCTGCTCCAGTCGAGCCAAATTGGCCTTTTTCTGCAAATAAAAATGTGACAGAACAACAACAAAGGCTTCTGACTTTGACACCGTTACACATCTTACACCTGCAGTTTACAAAAAAATCTGACACCAGTTAAGACTTGCAAACAGTTTGACACCTCACGCCTTTTATTTCGTATAAGCCCGAGGCAGCCATCGATCTACAGGCCTGCAGGGCTGCTAGCAGTTTCTGAATCTAATCTAAAGGTAAAAGGTGACTGGGTTTTTGTAGCCATGGGCCCAGTAGGCTTTATATCGTTCAGCTTGATGAGCTTAGACTGTCTAAGCCTCTTTTATCCGCGACAGCAGCTCTCAAAAACTATTTGAAGATCAAGGCTTTGACTTGATAGTAGCAGAGGTTGAATTATAAGCAGAAGTATCAGGGTTAATCACCTTGTGGTAGGTGGGATTGTTCACCATCAGTACTTCTGCTGCAGTGCTGCATTCACCAGATAGCCTCTGATAAGGGAAAGCTAGTTTTCTACCTTGTTGCAATACGACAAAAATAGATCATTCACCTAAATAACACTATAAATAGTCCATTACAAGTGAAAGCTGCCATCAAACTTGGCTGTAGTGTGTAAGCGGACAATGGAAACACATTGCACATTTGGAGTTGTGTTGCAGGAGATTAAAGTCCACAATAAATCCAATAATACTCTCCCAGCTCCTGAGGCAAATATCTGGCTCTTTAGCTGGTAAACTGTATTGTGTTCACGGGCTAATTTTGCCCCTTGTTTGTATGCTGAGGCCGAATACAGTGCTGTAAATATTGATAAAGCTCTGAACAGCTAAGGACTGCTGTATGAAGAGATCATTCTAGGTGGGATCTGACATAACTCTCACTCATAAGTGCAGATATATGAAATGATGAAGGGAATAAATCTACATCAATATGTCTAACCTGTGCATTTGAAGAGTTTATTTGCAAAAACTGATAACCCCATTTTTGTAGATTTTCAGAAAACTTATTTTTTGTTGTTTGCTTGAGATCAATCAAACTGAAGTTGAGTGGATTTGACTCAGTAGAAATGACAAAAATAGAGATAACTTAAGTTTGATTGATGTTGTCTCAGGTAGACGATGGAAAAGTGGGTTTTCTGAAGGTTTGTGAAGCTAGAGTTATCTGTTTGTGTAAATGAATTCTTCAGTTGTTCCCCAAATAAAAAGAAACGTAAGATGACAGAAGACTATAGAGTATATACCTTAATATTTAAACTAGTCAGGTACATTTCTAACATAGCATGGTATTAAACTTAAATACATAACACTGATCTTATTTCTCTATTGGAAAGAACTTTGGCTCAACTATTGACCTATTGAGATCAAACTGGCAGCATCATCAGAGACGTCTAAATCTCTCCTCAGAGTATTCTTCTATCAAAAAGCCCTCATGAGTGTGTGACATATGGCTGTGTTTGATGATCCCTGATTGTTTTAGTGGTGATTTCTGGCTGCTTTTAGGCCTTTTCTTTATTTTTCACTAATTTTTTTATTGATGTTATTGGTCTTTTTACTATATTTAATTGTTTTTGTTTCTGTTGAGCACTTTGAAAAGTGTTATATAAAGTTAAGTATTATTGCTATCTTTAAAAAAATAAAGTGATTATTGCTTGTATATGTAGGGTTTTGTAAATAACAGACGATTAGGGCAGATTAATTAACATTAGGTTGGAGCTGGCGGAGGTGAGGCTAATTTTGACTAGTTTGTATCATAATAAGAAGTTTAATTTTGTGTGAAATGGTGTCTATCATATGCATGATTGTAGACTTTTAATGTGTTTAATCTGAAGAACATAAGCACAAGATGTAAACACACCATATAGGTAAAGTACAAGAGCCCCAGGCTTTTTGTACAGAACTGCTGCACTTAGTTATGAACTATTTGAATGTTTGTCTACATTTTCACACAAATCTGCAAGTTAATACACTAGACAACAGAAAACACAGCAGAAGTGAAGCTATCCAGGCTGTGTGTTGTGTAATGCTGCCCCCTGCTGGCAGTGGAACCAAACAGCAGCTCACCTCGGCCTCTTGCTTCACGTTAGAGTTGTACTTATAGAGCCAGTGAGCCAGATACAGAACCGGGTTCGCGGGTCTCTGTTCGGCCACTTCAGCAAGTCCGTCCGCCAGACATTTCCCCAGATGCTTCTTTAAATACTCCGAGTCCATGTTTTTTTCTTCTTCCTAAAACACACCGGACCTTAACTTTGAGGAGCGACTTGACTGAAACTACGTCAGTTAGCGTCCGTTAAAATTAAGCTTTCTGGAAAATAAACGTTTAAATTGCTTTTTTTTCTTTCTTCTTCTATTATAAATAAACGTGATTTATGAATTACATCCAGTAACCAAAACAACGACAACAAAACAGACCTTCTTTCTTTTTACTCCGTGTGTAGCTGCTGCGTCTCCATGGTAACGGTGTCACATCATTAATGCTCCCCTCAGTGATTTAAAAACACTTCCTACCTCTCCTACTGCAGCTACCACTAAAAGTCCCAAAATACAGAGCATTACTACAGTCAATTTACTTTAGTTTAATTTAGGAATATAAAATAATTTTTAAGTTCAGCTGAACTGAGATAAAACGTTCTGTTGTCTTGTTTTATAACCATAAAGCTAGGATTTGAGTAGCAACAAATAATCAATCGATTACTTGTCAGCTATTAAATTAAGCCCTAGCTATTTTGATAACCAGTTTGAGCAAGTTTTTCAGAACAAAACAAGTCTAAATTCTCAGATTCCATCTACTTATAATATTTTCTGGGGGTTTTCCTCTATTTAAGCTACATTTAGATTTATATTTTACATTTTAATTTATCATTTTATTTCTTTATTTTGTCATATCTGGTTAATGCACACCGTGTCTTTTTGGTAAAATTGTAAATCATTTAATTTTGATTAAATACAATAAATTTAATCTTAGATTTTGTTCATTTTCATGACCAAACTGCACACCACAGATCAATATTTCAAGGTGAAAGTCCAATGTGTCTTTATGTTTTTGTAGTTTCTGGCTCTGATGAATGGTGTCATTTATGTTGTTTTGGTTGTTTTTTTGTTTGTTTTTTTTTTAAAGACAAAATGCCTTTCAAGTGTTGGCATTCAGAGGTTTAATCGATTAGTTGTTAACTAATAAATCAGTCACCAAATATTAGAATTGTTTAATTGCTTTGTGATGCTTTGAGGAAAACAGGTCATTTTTCTGATTCCACTTTCTTAAATTTGATTGTTTTCTGGTTTCTTTTCTCCTGTATGACAGTAAACTGAATCATTTTGGGCTGTAGAACAAAACAAGACCACTGAAGACGTCAACCTGGGCTGTGGGAAACACTGATCCACATTGTTCAGTATGTCCTGACATGTCATCGACCAAACAACGAATGGATTAATCAAGAAAACAATCTACAGAAATCTTAATTTTTATACCTTACAGTCATTTTCTCTTGATTAGCCTTCATCATGTATTTCTTGATTCTTTTCTACATTAGCTGTGCACCAACAACACCCAAGTTTAAGTGGTGATCAATGGAAGATCAATAAAGGCTTGTCTTATCTTATCGCATGTATATTCAATTAGAACAATAGATTATTGACTAAAAGTAAACACGGAAGTTCTGTGAAAATACTGAAAAAAACAGGTCACCTACAGAACAGTTCGAGTCCCTTAAGACGTCATAGAGCCTATATTTGCAAAAAAAAAAATTAGTTAACCTTTCAGACATACTTCACTACAACGATATCAGGAATAATTAGCAAGTTTTAAGCCAATTAAAATATAGTACAGCTAAAAATAGACACCAAATTTGAGCTGAATGTTGCTGCATAACTTAACAAGAGAAGTTTCCATGTTTTGATGCACTTGAAACCAAAATATAACACATAAGATTTAAGGTTTGTTCTTGTTTGAAGAGCTTTTTTTTTCTTCCCAGTGTTGCCAAAGAGCTGCTCAATGGGGAACCATTGGATTTGTTGGGTTTCTGTCTATAATATAATATTGGAAGGCCTTGACCTTAAATACTCTGAGATGACTTGTGTTGTAAGCGGAGCTGTAGGAATAAAAACTAATTGATAATTTTGTTGTCGTTGTTCGCAACAAAGCCTGCAGGCCTGGCTTCTTTCATATTTTAGCGTGATTTAATGCGCTGTGCTCAGCGTCCTGAAACCAGGACGGTTAGCTCACATGGGAGGAGGAGAAGGTGGGAAAATTGTAGCAGGCTTCATTTCCAAGAAACAGACGACACCCAGTTAACATTTGTAATCAGGGATATCATTTTCCTTGGATAATCATACTACACACCTTTCAGCCAAATATAGCCTTCACATCGTCAGAAAGACTCCTCCAATCAGACTGTATGAAGCGTACCGATGCAGTTTCGTCCTTCTCACGGCCTGTAAAGTAAAACAAAAAACAAAACAGATCTCTGGTCGTGATGTTTTGTGTATAGTTTGACCTTTGATAGTTACACTTCTTCTTTAATTGCACTGTTTCTCTCATTTGTAGGCCTAAATTGAAGATGCCTCTGGTCCACTTTCATATTCATGAAAAGGTGTGAGAAATGTGATGTGTTTTTCAAAATTAGTTACACAACTGGTTTAAGACATGTCTTTATTCCCAACGAGGAGAGATGAAGACTCACCGATAAAACAATCAACACAAGTTTGGAGCAGAAGATCACATTTACAAAACTAAAAGTCATCATGCTGCCATCTGGTGGTTGTAGCAGCAGCAAATCTTTGGAGGCACTTGGTTAAATCTTTTGTTAGTTTCCAATATTGAGCTTTTTTCTTTAGAACTGTTTATGTAGAGAATGTTGTTGTTGGCATCACTTATAGCTGGAAACTTTTCATATAAACTGCTCAAATTGAACAGAAATCATCAAACAAACAAGTAAAATTTCACCAGTTCTCACATCCTGACAAAAACAAAGACAGACAAGCTGCAGCCGGCAAGAGCTGCTTTATCGGTTTGTACGTGTCATTTATATGTTTCTGACAATTCAAATGTGGATTCAGAAATCATTAAGATGCTTTAGCCTCTCCACACGGTGTTACAAAACAAACAAGAGCTGAGACACTGATATGCAAATAATAACGGTCCTTTAATCTGCACTCTAAATCCTAATTCTGTCACTCTACTTAACATTTTGAGAGTTTTGGGTTCATTGGACGCAAACAAAATGTGTCACGTCTGACTGGACATTTCTGAGTTCAACAGAACTTTTTCAATCACATTTGTGTTTCTAGAAGATAGAATTTTTAAATGTCACATCAACATAGAGTATGTAGCTAGATCTTAATATTTATGCTATCTAAAACCAAATGAAAGTGTGTTTACAAATGTAGGCGAGTATATTGTAATTTCAATATCAAAAGACCACAAAATGCTTAATTTTGTATAATTTGCTCACTCTAAATCTAAATAAATATGTCACATGACCTTTATGACACTGTTTAAGGACAGAAAATGACTTACCTCATAATGGCTGAATAAACACGACTCAGATTAAGAGAAATATCAAGTCAAGTATATTATTAAACACCCAGCGTTGACCAAAGTTCTGCACATGTTGCAGGACAGGCAACAACAGAAATATGTACAGCAAAGCAAATCAGACAACAGGATGAAAGTTGAAGATGAAATACTAGAAAACTATTTTTGTCTACACTCTACAAACCTATGTTTAGGCAATGAAATATTACTACTGACAATAATAATACTAATAATAATATCACAGTTTGCATCAATCTTTTTGAGATCAGACAGTTTCTAATCATGTTCAACCATCAAACTATGCTGAATTAGGGGAACTCATCTTTTATCTGTAATGAAAGCAAGTATTTCTTTGACCCAAGTACTTCCATGTCATTTTTTTAAGTGTACATATTTGGGGGAAAAAATGTGGCAAAGTAGGCAGAGGAGGGGACCTGAAATCACCTCAAGGTCAAGACAAATAAAGTTATCAAAGCAGTTTTATTCAGCTTCTTCAGCTTGAATTTAATTTTAAATAAACACAGAAATTCGAGTTTAAATTACAATATCAACATGATGCAACATCATTACATCAACACAAACCTTTGGAATTAAACCTACAAGGTAAATCAGTAAATCCCTTTCTTTTTTAAATCTTGCAGCCTTGCATTTCACTGAATGGTGTGAACAGGTCCTTTAAATGGACGCATTTAAAGTGTGGAGCAGATGTTGCTGGTGGATCAGCTGAATGTGCAGCAACACTTCCAGATGAGAGCAGGAACCAGCCGGCAGCACCGCAGCGGAGCTTCTGCTTCGTTCCGGCTGTGTGGACTTTATTGAAATGCGTAAATGCGCACGGCGGACTGAAACGCGCGCAGGATCGACCAGCTGTGTGGGAAGCGACTCCGCTGCCGAAGTGTCAGAGGTCTGATCTGATCCTACCTGGAGCGACTCCTCCGGTTTCACTGCAGGACGCCACACTGCGTCAGCAACAGCTGTCCTGCAGCCCCGCGCTGGCTGCCACAAGGGCACAACCACGTCCTGAGTGGAAGGCTTCACGGAACACTTGATTTTTTGTCCCCCCTCCTTGTCTCTTGGATTCTGTGGAAATACATGTTTTGCCGCGCAAGGTAACGCATCACCTGCTTTCTGTTGACTTGTGTGAGCTGCTGAGACTGAAGATGAATCCTGCATGAAGTTTAGAAAAGTCTCCTGTCAGGCTGAAGAGTTCTTTACTGTACTTACATTTTGGTGACATTATGCGTCTTCACAGGTTTTGAGTTTGTTTATTTTAATGTTTCACTTTCTCTGATTGAAATTTGGCATCTTTTTCATTTTTAGATGGCAGCTTTTTAGCGAGGAGATTTCCACTTGGGCTGTGTAGTAACATATTTGGCTGTTTGGGTTTTAATTTGAAAAAAAAAAAAAGTATTTGTGCTCTGTAAGTCAAGCATTTTTTTCTTGGTACTTAAACTAAGTGCCAAAAGAAACTGAATGCACAGGCTTGTTTTAATATGAGTGCCTTTGTTCCAATTATAAACAGGGACCTGTAATTGAGCTGAGGTCAAATTTGGAATTGGTAGATTTATGGCTTCACAGCAGTGTTTTTAAATGTGTGTGTGCATGAAGGTGCGTGCAGCGAGTGGCAAATTTTACCACACCGTCATGAATCCTGCACACGAGCATCACGTCCATTCCCATTTGTTCACCTGCCAGGTGAATATCAGCCCCCGGAGGCACATGGCTGCAGTGTCCGGTGTGGCCACTCTGCAGCCCTTCTCCACCCCCACTGTGCCTCCTCCTACAGGGACAACGTGTTATTTTTAGCCCATGTCTTCATGGCAGATGGGCAAGATACTGTGATGCTGTGGATGCTCATACCCCACCAGTTTCTCTGCCGTTAATCCGTGTTGCCCCAATAAGAGGTGCGGGACTATGGAGACGCCTGGACACATGCAGGCAAAGCAGATCTTTGGTGGAGGCCAGTGTTCTGGTTAGATCCTGTTTGTGCACCTGCATCTCTTATGTTACTCCTGCAGTGGAGGGTAAAATCCAACATGAATGAAGACCATCAGGTGGCGTTCTTAAGGTCTTAGAGTGAGTTTGTGTCGCCAGTCTTAGATATTTTTCATTCATTCAAGGTGGATCTTTTCTCTATGGCTGCATTCTCCGCTCACATTCCTTCTCCTGTCATCGCATATAAATGGCAGGAAAATGCCTCATCTTGTGGCTTTTAACACGCAAAATGTGGAAAGATGTAGAAGGATCTGTTGTCTTCCTCTGCCCGAGTGTGTTTGTGTGTCTTGCATCACATGTTCTTGGACGCAGAAGGTGTCGGTTTTGAGTTTCTTTCACCAACTGAGCCCATGTGACTGCTTGGCCTGGCCTGCGTATTTTCCAGACTACTCAAAAGGTGAAATAAGGTTAAAGATTAAGTGGAAGAAAAAAAAAAATGTCCTAAAAATTTTACCCTCCGATTTGTTCACATATGCAGTAGAGTTGTGTTTGACGTACAGGTTTGTTACTTTCCCCACAGACATGTAATGTGACAGAAACAGTCATTTCAGAAGGAGACCGTTTGAACGTAAACAGCTACTTCGTGGATGTTTTTTGTTTTTTTTAAGGGCTCGGTTGGTGTTATGAATATGATAATAGCTCCCGCTGGTCCCTCGCAGGCTGGATGGAATATTCTCCAAGTCACTTCCACATGTAATCTACTCAGATTTCTGTGCAGTGAGTGCAAAGGCCAAATGGGTCAGTTTGAGGCAGCAGGAATCTGTTTGGAAAGTTGTTGACTGTATCAAAGAGCAGCTTTTTTAAAAAAAAGTTTGGTTTACCCCGAAACAGATTAATTTGCTTTGTTAGTCATATGTTAGATGGAAAACTGTGGGACTGTTTACATCATTAAAATGCTCATATTTTGTGTATTTTTACTGATTATCAAGGAACAGTCAGATGGAGGAACATTGTTTGGCTGCATTCTCCAGTACAAGTTTGGATTTTTATTGGTCAATTAATTATTGAAGCAAGTATTTTTCAGAATATAGTTATTATAAAACTGACTTTCCAAAGAATAATTTGATTTCAAAAGGTGCTGCTTTGACTATGATGCAGCCACCTCTCCGTCTGTCGGCACCAGTGTCCCGCGAATGTGGATCGGGACAGTTCTGCTTGTTTTTCCTTCTTACATTTATAACTTTAACATTTCTTTCCTCTGAGCTGGTTTATTAGACTGTTTTTGGCTGTTTTTTATGGATGTTATAGCTTGTGCAGTCATAGATCCACAAGTGGGCTGTTTGCCATCGTACTATTTTATTAGTTTCACAACATAAGTAACAGCCTATCCACACTTTTTCATTAAAAATCTGTACATCATAAAGAAACAAAAGGCATACTTAGTAGGTTTTTGTTGGAGTTTGTTCAATTTTTGACACGATTTTCATTTTCCCAGCGCATCGGTTCCAAATATCAGCAATCAGACTGCTCGATTACTGACAAATCGTATCATACCTGTAAAAAAAACGCCACATAGGTTGACCCCTAATTTATAAATCCATAGACTTAAATGTCTCTGTTAGCGACTTGACCATCTGGCTGCCCCACAGAGATTACAGTAGGTCTTCACAGCTCCTCGGCATGCAGTAGGAGAGGCATACTGCGAATAACAGCAGCTGTCCTCTTAGCAGCGACATAATGCATGTAGGGATGTATTGCAGCTGAGTGTGTGCGCTCACATCTGATAGAGACATCAAAAAAAAAAAAAAAAAACAGAGCTCAAAGGGGCTCGACCCTTGAGCGGTTGCCGAGGTGATGCTGATCGTTTTTAGTCCGGTCTGACAGAGCGTGCAAGCTTCGATTTTAGTCTGGCACACAAAGCCGCGGTTGGACGCTGCAACAGGTGGAGAGTCTGTTTTAATGTGGCGCCCTATAGGGTTTGAAATAGCAGGTTAACTGGTGGGTGACAGGGTGTTGAAGCGAGCTGGGAGAGAGAGCGAACCGCAGTGTTGTGATCTGACCCCGTGAGAAAACAGGGAACAAGAGCACGGCAAATGTCAAAGGACGTGCGGATAAAAGCCCTTGTTTGCTCTGTAGATTGGTCGTTTACAGCTTAACCGCATGCCAGCGGTGGTAAGTGCGGCATAATGAGGGGACTGAGATGCCTGACATGTGGCCTCGGGACTCGTGGTTGAACTCCCAGCATGCTCAGGGCTCCGGAGTCAAGATAACAAGTCGCAATTAAAATATCCACAATCGGATCCGAGTCAAACTGAGAGTGGGCTCCATGTGGAATAAAAAGCATGTCCACCCCAAAGCTCTGACTGCCGCATTTATATGAGCACAGTTTGGATGTTTGTCTAAAGGCTGGTGAACTAAACGTCCTTTCTGACTCACTGGCTGAGCCTCTCTCTTGCTGTATGAACTCAGGCTGCCCTTGTGACAAAAGCCAAAAGCTGGTTGGGTTTGTTTCCGGAGGTGAATATTGGCATTCGCATTCCGCGGCCGGCTAGTGTAACGAAGCGGTGTCTACATTACCCCGTCTATATCCTCTACCGGAATGTCACAGGTCATATGGCCTACACTCACATGCAAGCTGATATATATATTACTGTCGGGGAAGGCTTCTGAAACCTTACATTCCCTCCCTCTTCCTCAGTTTGCCTCCCGTCCACAGCGTGACCGACCGAGCGCGGCCATGTGGCGGGTCGTCTTCAGTCGGACTCATAAAATAAATGATAAAAATGGTGGTGGAAAGTCAGAGAGGCAGATCTTTGAGGAAACAAGCTCATGTAAGATTATGAAGAACCTACAAAGTACTTTAGTATATTACATTTCTTTTGCTTTTTAGAGGGAAGTATTGTACTTTTTAACCTGCTGTATTAATTTAACATGTACAGATTGAAGCAGATTTGCACAAAACACTTTAAAAAAGCCTAGAAAATACAACACAGAGATTATAGCAGTGGCCAACAACCCTGTGACCTCTTCAAAAAAAAAAAAAAAGCAGCATCTGGATGAAGCCCCTTCAAATAATTCACCTCAATTGAGATAAAATAAATGCATTTTCAAAATTCTCACAGTTTTTGGTTGCTCTCACTGCTCCTAATGGCTCAGTATTTTATATTTATTTGTTATTTTCTATGTGTTGTTTGTAGTAATATTTATTGCTGTCTACTGTATTGCTTTTTTTTTTTTTGTATTTTAGTTTAGTTTTAAAGCATGTACAGCACCTCTAGTTGTTTTAAAATCTGCTAATTAAAAGCTAAAAGTTCACAGCAGATTCATATAAAATTGCTTTTTGAGGATCAAAAAAGGGAAACAATGTATTATTTCATTTAAAAAGCAAAACTTGGACAAAATAATGTGAAAAAAATATATATATCTACCAAATTTGGCCAGCAGAGCTTTATGGTTTTTCTTTCAGCTGTCAGTAATCATCTGAAGTTCAAGAGTTTTGTTTGGGATTTATAAAGTTTTATCTAATCTATCTGGTGACCCTTCAGATTGACCCGACCCCAAGACTTGAACCATCTGATTGTATTTAAAGTAGTTAAAACTATCTCCTCTCCAGTGCATCTAATGTCAATTGCAGAGATTTTAAGTGCAGGACTTTTACTTGCAATGGAGCAATTTTATATTTTGTATAGATGCTTCTATATTAGAACAGGATCAGACTACCTCCCTCATTGCTGAGTCGACTACTTGCATGTACTTAATTTGCTTTTGCCGTTAAACTCAGAAATCCAGACAGGCCTGCATGTCCTAGACGTGTTTATTAAGGACTTCAGGTCTAATATACAGAGTCTGGCCCAGTCTTGCCTCTGCTCTCGGCTCTTTCGTGCGGAGAAACTCACACTGATGAGCGTAGCCACAAAACTTAACGCGGTGCCAAAACGTATTACTTTCCTCGCTGACGCGGGAGACAAGGCAACAAGCGACTCGAGAGGACTTTTTTGAGAATTGGCAAGCTTTCAGGGACCTGGCTTCTTTAAAAAAGGACATTTGATGGCTTCAGCAGTGACGGTGTGATGTAATGCAATCAGGAAATGTTCCCCATTAGCCACAGAGAAACACATCCATTCTCAGGATGTGTATTTTAAGGTTGGCTCATGGTGGAGAGCGGCGGGGCCCACGGCGCCCAGAATGGGGGTTTTGAAATGGGATGATGAGAGGTGAAACTAGGTGCTCGGAGAGGGGCTGTGAGGGGAGAAGTAGGTAGGTGCAGGGCAGCCCAGGTTGTCTCACTGACGAACACTCACTGTAGGTTTTTTTCTTTTGCAGACCAGAGTTTTATTGTTTCAGGGGAACAATTAGACAGCATGTTGTTTGTAGATGTAGGAACAGGGGCTTCGATGAGTGATAGGGTAAAGATGGAGCGATTATACGAGGGAGGGATCTAGAACCTCGGCGGTTATGCAGTGGGATGGCGGGGAGGTTGTAAAGAGCTGGTCAGGGTGTGAGGCGGAAGCTCGGTGTGTTTGGGGCCCCCCGTGTAAAAAAGAAGGTAGTAGAGGAGAGGAGTCAGCTCGGTAAGATAAGTTGGCATGCTGTCCTGTTTATCGGAGGGATGTGAGGTGCAGAGCGAAGACTCAGCCAGGAAGGAATGAGCAGAGTCAACGGGCTTCTGTAACACGACGCTCCGTCTTGATTGCTCGAAGCAGCTGGGCAGCCACCGTATCTGTGCGAGCGTGTGCGTCTCCTCACATGTGTGTGAATGCATAATTTTCTGCTCAAGCCAGGAGGTTTGAGCAAGTCGGCCTGTGATAGGTATCGCCATGCATCAATCTGTATCATGGTGATTGATATGTGTGAACTCTCTTTGTCGTCTGCCGGCTTGTTTGTCTGTTTTGATGATTAATGTCGTGTCTGTGTTCTTTGTGCAGTGCCAATAACTTAGTTTCCAGAAATGTGGTACTTGATTTTGTCTATAAAGCATCTCTGTTTGTCAGATTTTTGCTACTTTAAGGTGCGTTTAAACAACTTTCCTTGTTGTCATGCTGTTTTTCTCCTCAAAATATTTCCACAAGCTGATTTGAAATTTATTTTTTAGGTAAATTACAGAATTTTGCAAAACTGTACATTAACATCGCTGCCCTCTGGCAAACAAATGTTCCCTCTGAACTTGTTTTTGTCAAAATTTGAGCACAGTTCTTGTGTGATGACTATAAAATGACATCAGAATTAACAACTGATACTCACAAGGAAGAAATTCTATGTTTTAATATAAGACAAGATGACATGAGATAAGACAAGAAAGGATAAGAAAAGAGATGAATACAAAAAGATAAGACACTAAAAGATAATAAAAGACAAGAGCAGATTCTGCACAAAGCTTAGATATTTTCCTGCTGCATTATTCTGTCCATAACAGCAGAGGCCTAAGTTTAGCTGCTCCAGACAAAAGTGCTCCGGACTGGTTGCTAAACACATCAAAGGATGTAAGCAAATGCCACTTGGACCCGACACGGAGCGCCTGCTAAGCTAATAAGTAATCTGATGTACATAAGTAATGTCATGGGCTCTTTAGAACGGTGGGAAAGTCCAAGCTCTAGTCCTGAGTGCGTGTAGTCATTTTGTTACCATCTTGTCACTTTTAAGTGGCCCAGCGAGGGGCTGCCGGGTCAGAGATGTAGGGCACAGGGTGGAGGGCAGGAACGAGAGGGACTCGGGGGGGTCTGGAGTCACATCAAAGCAGCTAAAGCCTACGATCAACACCCAGGACACGCATGGAGACATAAAGTTTTAGCGTTGTGTATACATACGACCGCTCATTAAGTCATCACAGGTTTGTCATGTTTTGAGAAGCTCCACCGAAGAGCTACTTCCCCTCTGAATTTTTCAGATTGTGTCTGTTAAAGGTTAGAGGAAAGTCCAAAAGCGTACCAATATGTGGAGGTCTTTTCTTACATTTATCTGAGGAA